TGGAGCCCGCGCTCGTGCCCGCTAATTTCGATGGCGCGGGGTCGAAGGACGAGCCCGGCCAATCGTCGGATGCAGCATCACAGGAAAAACTGTCATCCTTATCATCGTCATCCCCTGACGCGCCAAACGAGACGAGCCCCATCGCTCCGCTGGAGGGGTGCTGGTCCGCCTGTGTGAACTGGACTGGCGGCGGGGAGTCTTCGGGTGGTGGTGAAGCACGCGGGGATTGGCCCGGCGTGACATCACTGCAAACCGCGTGCTCCGGCGGCCTCTGTGAGCGGCGTTTTTTCTTTCGCGGCTCGACTAGAGGAGATGGCAGCACGGAAGAGGTGGGCACTTTCGCGGTGAAAACGGCGAAGCGAGGGCGCAGCTCGGTGAGGCCCAGGGCGTCACACTCGGGACATCCGCCTCGAGTAAGGGCAGCCTCTGCGTGGTCCGGTCCCAAGCAGCGGGCGCAGATGATGTGACGATCCCCGTCCTGAAGAGGGCCTCGACACGAGGCGCAGGAAGGCATTTGAAACAACGCCTTGGAAATTTGACTCTTTTAGAAAAAGTGTCGCGGGGGCGAACACTGATAGCTTTGTAAAAGGATATAGATGGTGCGCGCCGGATGGCTTAGCAGAAGGCGATCGAAGGCGGCTGAAGGCGCCGGCGTCCTCGAAGCAGTCCTGCTGTAGGCTTGTCGACGGCGGCGGCGAAAAGACTCCAACAAATCCGGAGGATCCAGCGAAGAGAAGGTTCTTTGCTGAAGGAGATTAAATCTAAAGAACTCAGACGACGGGGCGCCCAATATATAGCCCTTGGCCACGCCCATCTTGGCGGGCTCTGACGCGCGTGGGCGCGAAGCACGCTCATTGGAAGCGGGTTCAGAGTCGCCCCGTCATTGGTTCGTGCAAGTTGCCGCAGCACAGCCAATGACCGAGCTGCCTCGCTCATTGCTGTATGCTGTGCAGCTGCAATGCGTTTTACATAAAGACTTCAATATTTCTCGAGAAAAGGAGTTTTCCCATAGCGTGAAGCTATTACGCAATAGGAGGAACCTCTCGAAAGGGAACATTTTATTTCAGAATTTCTTAGTATTTGGTTTATTCCAAAGTGCCAAACTTGCTTATTTGGTTGGTTAGTGGCCTAGAAATAGTGCAGAATCTGAAATATTTCTCATAAAGTTTGTTTCATTTCTTTGTTTTAAATGTCTCAAAATTTGTCCCTTGTTTTATTTACAGGTTTGAAAATTACTTAAAATGCCTACTGGCATTTTCTGCTTCTTTTTTCTTTTTCTTTATTATTGCAATGCAGGTAATCTAGCCTTTATAAAAAAAAAAGCCTGAAAGCCTGATTTGGTGACCAAAAGCTTTTCTTTCTTTCTCACCCTAGAAAGTGACTTAAAGTGACTAGTCAGTCGACCATTGTTATAACCACCACTGCAGTTCAGTGAACATGACAGTAAAGGCACGTTCACACCAAGGACTATAACAATAATGATAAAGTTATAGTTACAAAATTCGTTCTAAATATAAAAGAATAGTCCACAACACAACTATAACAATAATAGCACAGAGAAACTATATCATTGGAATCACTTTCAGAATTAGAATGCAGTGCACCCCTTGTCTCCATTGGCTCTATCACAGTTCCCTACAATGGTGGAAATGGTTCACATCGAGGTCAGAATCAAGTCTCCAGGTGTCCTGCAGAATAGTAAGCTGTATCCCCCTGAACAAGTCTGGTGACATGTTGAAGGCCAGCCTCTTGTTATGAGATGTGCTCTGAGAAACACAGCAACCTTGCTAATAGAAGTGTTTTTTCCTGATATCCCACCCACTTATCAAAGGGCTTGAGTAGGGCTATTACTCTTCCTTAGTTGCCTCAGCTGATTGAATTCTGGGATTGCTTGCTCTCATTTTTTGCACAACAAAGCTAGCTGAAATGAAATGAAATGAAATGACGGTACACTAGCTTGATGTTCTTGCTTTTTGGGAAAAAATGCAGTCAGGCCTGACCATGTGTAGTGTAAGGAAGAGCACTTGTCATTTATTCAGAAAATGTAACCTAAAGATTTAAAATTTTGCCTCAAACAGCTTATGTGTGAATTAAATGTATTAAAAATAAACAATATTAAAAAATATATTTTTAAACTTAATCGAGAACTATGCCATTAAACTAAAAGTATAAGTCTGATCTTCCATTCGTAATGACCATAATTGTTGTGATGGCCTGTGATAAAATGTAACAGTAAATGAAAAAGCTCTGTAACACTTGCTAAAATCAATACAAAACATCCTCAAACACGAACACATCTTAAGATTATTAAAAATGGGTAATCTCGCGGTGAGAAAGTTAGTATGAAAAATACAAATTTTTATAAACTTTGAACCTCTAAGATACACAAAATGTAAGTGTAAAATCTACACTTGCATGTTTTAAATCATCCACACTTTAATATAATCCATTTTAATATTGCAGATATATGCAATTCTGTTCAAAAGTATTTGTTTTAAATATTTAATATTTTATTATAAATGATTAATTTTTAAATGAATACTTTAATTCAGGGTGGATGCATTAAATTTATCAACAGTGACAGTAAAGTAATTTTTAATATGTAACAAAAGATTTAAAGTAAATGCTGGTCTTTTAATGTAGAAAAACTGAAAACAGTATTTTAAATAATATTTTTCAATGGTATAGTTTTTATTGTATTTTTAATTTTTTTAAATGGTGAGCATAAAATACTTATTTCAAAAACATTCAAAATAATCTTACAGACAGCAAACATTTGAATGGTAGTGTATGATTTGATTTATTATAGATAAAATTGTGACCATAAATCTAAAAATTACAAAGGAAGACATTGTTACTGTCACGATCTTGGTGTGTTCTAGTCAAGACAGGACAATACACAGGAAAACGTCTCGGTTACATATGGTAACCCATGTTCCCTGAAAGAGGGAACGGAGACGTTTGTTGGAGGGATCCGACAGAAATAGGATCCCTACCAACACGCCATGTTGTTGGCCCTTCCAGTGCCCTGCATAAGTCTCACTTCTCTCCCTTTATTAGGGGCAGAAGCTTATGCGGGGAGTCCTGGCCACTGATGTTCCGCAAGACCCACTCAGTGAGAACATTGGATAACACTGGGAAAGCGTGCCCTTCCTAGGGGGAGGAGAACGCTGCGGAAGCCACGACCTGCCCGGAGGGAAATAACGTGAAGAATACACATATGGACTAGCCAAGCAGGGTAGTGCAACATATGGAAGTCTCTGGGGTGGTGCCAGCCTACTCCTAGGGGGGAAGCGCACCGCTCTGCCAAGGGAAAGACACTGGCTAGCCGACAGGGTAGCCGTACTGTGGAATTTACACATATGGGGTCACCGCAGGGACCGCTACATATGGACACCCAGACAGGTTCCTCAATGCATACGAAGGTTAGGCCTGGCGTCAGACGCTCCGCAACGTCTGACTGCCATAGGGGTGACGGAGGAAACTGTCTCCGGGGAACACACTGGAGCAAATAGACGCACGTATCTGGCCGACCAGGCGAGAATGGCGTAGCAAGCCGACACTTGAGCGGGTTCCCCGCGTTACAGGCCACTTGGGGCAAGTATAGTGGGCTAACTTCTGCTTGGAGACAGCCTTTCCCTTCTGCTGGCCTCCGTAACAGACGAAGAGCTGGTCTGAGGTCCTAAAGCTTTGCATTCTGTCCACGTATAACCGCAAGGAGCAGACGGGACAGAGAAAAGCCAGGGCTGGGTCTGCCTCCTCCGAGGGCAGCGCTTGCAGGTTCACTACCTGGTCTCTAAAGGGCGTGGTAGGAACCTTGGGCACATATCCGGGCCGAATTCTAGGCACGATTCGTCGACCGAAAACGCTTGCAGGTCCCCTACCCTCTTGATAGAAGCCAGCGCCGCCAGGAGCGCTGTCTTTAGTGACAGGATCTTTAGCTCTGCTGACTGCAGTGGTTCGAAGGGAGGTCTCTGCAGTGCGCTGAGCACCAGAGACAGGTCCCAAGAGGGTATAAAGGGGGGACGAGGCGGATTTAGTCTCCTTGCCCCCCTCAGGAACCTGACAATCAGGTCATGCTTTCCCAATGACTTACCTTCAACTGCATTGTGATGCGAGGCAATAGCGGCGACATGCATAAAGATGATAACCGACAGTGAACTGAACAAAACAGGAAGTATATATACACTGAAGCAAAAAAGGGAACTAAATAAGGCACAGGTGTAATTAATCAGAAACCAAGGAAACTAACAAGGGGATTAACAAGACTAAACAGAAAAGAAACACAAGAAATAGGCACATGAATGAAAACAATGAAATCTAACATACTGACAGTTACTTGGCTTGAAATGCTGTATGTTGCGGCTCAGTGGGTATATGAGGTCCCCGGTTCTTCCCCTTTCTATTTGGACTTTGCATGTTCTCTCTGTGTCAGCGTGGGTTTCCTCCGGGTGCTCCTGTTTCCCCCATAATCCAAAAACATGCAGTATTGGTGAACTGGAGTCGCTAAATTGTCTGTAGATATTGAATGTGTGTGTGTTGTGTGAGTCCCAAGCCATGTAATGGGGGGGCGGTTGAGGAAAGACTTGGCAACCTACCCTGGAAAAATCATTGCATATGGCGAGAGATAGCCCATATAATCACCAAGAGTCGGATACAGCTGAAATGGTTAATGAATGAATGAATTACAAATGCTACATTTAAATATTGCTGTTTTACTACATATCAGAGCAAGTGCTGCTTTTTTTACAGTAATGTACTGTTTTATTCATCATTTAGGCAAACCTGCAGCACATGATCCAAGTGTTTCTGTTCAGACTCTGCATAGTCCATTCAACTAAAATTTAATTGACCAGCAAAATGCTCTTGGGGTTTTTTGGGGTTTACAGACGCACATTCCCTGAGGCTGCATAATAGTCCATTACGTCTATGATTGAAAGACACAGCAGTAAAAACAATGTTGTGCATCATTCTCATTGTATACTGTTTTTGTGCCTCAGGCCCAGTGGGATGGTTTGACTGGACGGATAGTCCTTAACAAGACTGATGGTCTGCGGAAAGAGTTCAACTTAGACCTCATCAGCCTCAAGGAGGATGGCACGGCGAAGGTGAGTCAGCTCAGCTGGACCCTGAAGAGAGACTGCTGCTATCAGCAGAGTGAATGGAAACCTTGAGCCAAGTGTCTTAATGTATTTCGTGTATGGATTCAATTAAACTGAATATGTTGTTTTGAAAGCAGACATATTTATTAGCCAGATCATTTTTTGACCTTGTTGCTCTCATGCTGATTACACAACTCTTCAATTCTTTCTAAAAGCGAGTGGCTGATGGTGCAGCACGACCTACTAAATTATGGACAAAGGTTTGTTCCAGTCTTGGTTTCATTCCATGAGTTTGTGATTAAGACCTGTGGAGAGCTTGGATTTCCTTTCCTTCAGTAAACCAAGTGCCCTTTCATCGGCTTCCCTCTCCCTGCAGAAATCCCTTCACTTCCTTATCGAAAGAGATCGCTGCCAGTCACTTCAGCCAGAATGTCTTGCTGAGATGCATAATGTGTGCCAGTTTTAGTTATGAAAGTTAAATCACCTTCCTCAATATCCAGCACTGTAAAATACGTACTTTTTTCCACAATCCTTCGCGCCTCAGTAAGAAACGCATCTCCATAAAAGCCTGCTCAGGCGCGTAGAAAAATGTACATGAATCCACAGGCAGATATTTAGAGAGCAGCTCTAATCTACTTTCAAAGTTCATTTGAATAAGTCGCTCATTTCAGACTCATATGAGCTGTGTGACAAGTGCCATACATAAACATAGACTAGATTAGGCTTGTGTTAACAAAGGGTTTATCGAACAGAGAAAAAAGCAAGCCCTCCATCAAGCGGTTTCAATCTTTTACTGCTGACATCCTGTTTTAAAGGAGTCATGTCATACTTTTCTCTTATGTTATTTTTTTAAGATCCTGTATAATGTTAGTCAAATTGGTTTAATTTAATTTTTTAAGCTACTAATACTATCTCTCTGATCCTTAGAATTAGATGGGCTGCTTTTATTAAACATTATTTATTAAATAATAAATTCTTGTTGATTTCTGAAACGCTTTTATCTCATAAGATCAAGGATTATTTGATTCCTATAACGTATTTTTTAGTCTAAATAAGAGCTATGCTGTCAGGTAACCGGGTAATACCTTCTTTTGTGACATAAAATATCTGTCTGTCTGTCTGTCTGTCTGTCTGTCTGTCTGTATGTCTGTCTGTCTATCTGTCTATCTATCTATCTGTCTATCTATCTGTCTGTCTGTCTATCTATCTATCTATCTATCTATCTATCTATCTATCTATCTATCTATCTATCTATCTATCTATCTATCTATCTATCTATCTATCTATCTATCTATCTATCTATCTCAGTATTCATATCAAACTCAGGAGTAATACATTTAAAATAATCATAACCACAATATTATTTTAATTAGTTGTATACAATAATTTAACAAAATTATCTCTACAAACAAATAATACAAATATAAAACAAATAAATAAAAATAACAACAATAATAACAGTTATATAAAATCTTTACATTTGATATAAATTTGTAATGTTTTCCTAGGAGAAACTTTAAAAAAATACAACAATTTAGCCTGATGACATTGTGTCGTTTTTTTATAGAAGCTTTGACTTCTTAAAAGTGTAAAGCACTGTGAGGCTTCGAAATCTTCACATCTTTACACATTTTCCATCTACTTATGCTTCTTGTGTTCATATTTCATATTCATATTTGAAGTCCATTAACCGGAATAGCAGTGGAGATAACAGAAAAGCTTCATAAATTGCAGAAACGTTGGAAAGAACTTGTTTCTGCTTCATTGACCTAGAGAAATACAGCAGTATAAACCTACTTGTCCTCATCTTGAAATGTACACTGAATATTCTAGAGCTATATGCATAGATACATATACAGTATATATATATTTGTTTATCAAGTAGTAGATTACTAAAGGCTCACACTTTTATTTCAAGAGAACTATTTAACCTTCTGATATAGTGCACAGAACTTTACAAGTCATTTGTAGCATTTATGGTGTGATGTTGCATCCATATCAACATGTCTGATAACCATCGACCCTTTCTCATACTTCTTTTTGACCCTTTCTCATACCTCCATCTTTATATGTTGTGTTTTTTATTTATGACAACATCAATTCAACATGGCTAGCAAAAGTGGAAAGTAGTGCACTTAAGATGATATATTTATGAGCTTCTATTTTATTGGACAGATGTGTAACTCTAAAAAAAAATCTCTGAAAAGAAATATTGAGTGTTTATATTATTGTTGTTTTTTTCTTTGTGTTTTCATAATTCATGTACACAATTCATTCATAATTTGTAGAGCATGCATTAAATAGGAAAGCATTTTACTGGATTTTATTGAGCAGGGAAGGAGTGTTTTACAGTCAAAGGCATTCAGTGAATTAGGACTAGATTCTTTAATTTTCTTTCATTAGGTTTTTTCCTTTCCTTTCCTTTCCTGACCTATTTAATGAGTCTGCAGTGATGAAGTCCTTCTTTCACTGTCATTTCATGTGCTCAGAAACAGAGACTCATGTGCTTCATGCCTTGTCATTTCTATATTGTATTGTTAGATTGGAGTGTGGAACTCTTATACAGGCCTCAACCTGACTGAGGTAAAAGACAGTAAAAACATCACAGACTCTCTGGCTAACAGAACGCTTATCGTCACCACAATCCTGGTAAGAATCCAATCAGTTTTAAAACAAGTTATAATTCCATGTTATGTTAAAAATTCTTTTCAGGGATCACAATTATTTTTAGTTGGTCAGATTTGTATTTGCCTGTGAATAGTTTCACTGGCCCACCAAATGAACAAAGAAATATATACTAATATATATTTCCCATTTATTTTATTTTATTGTTATTCGCCATTACAGCTATAAATTCACTCAAACACTTCAAAAATTAGACTGCACACTTTGCAAAATGACTAATTTTGAGCAGTTCTTCTCAATTCATCTCATCTGACCAGCTAACTTTGCCTCTGTGACATCTGACCTACATGTGAATTTATCTTGTGAACAGGAAAACCCCTACGTTATGTATAAGAAGTCTGACAAGGCGCTATATGGGAACGATCGCTTTGAAGGCTACTGTCTAGATCTGCTAAAGGAGCTCTCCAACATCCTGGGATTCACCTATGAGGTCAAGCTGGTTTCTGATGGCAAATATGGAGCTCAGAATGACAAAGGCGAATGGAACGGCATGGTTCGGGAACTAATCGACCATGTGAGTGATCTCCCACAAAGGGTATTTTTTATCATCCAAATGCAGTCTTTGTAGATGATCTTCTGCCTTTCCACCTCATTATATTTCAGTTTATATCACACTATTTAGAGACTAGAACCAGACTGTCTTTGACAACTGATTAACCAAGATATTTCAGCTTGTAATGGATGTTTTTGTAACTTGGCTCCTCTCAGGCAATTTAGCAGTGCTGAGAATTATGTTTATTTACAGCAAGTGTAAGTAGTCCAAAAGTATTGATAGGAAGACTACAATTGTGTATTCAAAACATCAAGGTGCAGGTTCATTAAAAGTACTTCTACTTTAATGAGAAAGTTTTTTTCCAAGGACAAGGGCATTTGTGTTTTCATCTGGCTGTTTTATATCAATATTTTTTCTTAATACTTTGCCAACCCCTAGTGTCTTCATAACTCATTTATTTGTCAGTATGGTAGAAGTACAAAGTCTGACAATCTACAAAAGCTTTCTTTAGTTTAAATAAACTTCATAAAACAACAGGAAGCTTCAAACAGCCAGTCAGTTTTCACCAAAGCCCTGTTGTGGGATCCATCTCTGCAGGCGTCACTTGTTTCTATCTTAGTGATTGAACTCTAATATTAACTGCATCTATCTGCATTTTTTCCAGCAGTACAAGTTCCCATCGCCTTGTGTACCTCTTCTTGTCCCCTTAACCAGATAGCTGACCTGGCTGTGGCTCCGCTGACCATCACTTATGTCAGAGAGAAAGTTATCGACTTCTCCAAACCCTTCATGACCTTGGGCATCAGCATATTGTACCGAAAACCAAATGGCACCAATCCAGGTGTGTTCTCTTTCCTCAACCCCCTCACCCCGGATATCTGGATGTACGTGCTGCTGGCCTGTCTTGGAGTGAGCTGCGTGCTTTTTGTGATAGCCAGGTATGGATGAAACTTCTGCATCTTGGAAATATAGCAAAACAAATGTGCAGATTGGGTTTAAGATCTAGGAACACTGACCCAATTGTTCAAAAATGTCTTTCAGATGTTTTACAGTTTGACATAACATGAGGAGACACATTATCAGGCTGTCATTTGAAGAATATGGCTGTTATCTGCAGCTTAGGGAACATCGTACATCTCTCTTTGAAGCTTTCAAGAATTATTTTCACTCTCGACTTCACTCTCGACAGTCTGATTTAAAATATAAAGCTGTTTTGCAGATTGTGCCTACAGATATCAAGTTTTTTTGTGGGAGTGCATTTAAAGCAGTGTATTTTTCTCATGTTATATCATTGCTCTTGTGAGATGCCAGAATCAAAATGCTGATTTGATCTTGAAACAGATCAATAAGTAATAAACACAGCGCCCAGACTTTATTATATTGCTGTCGGATTATAGATTAATGATGTAAAAATTTCAGTCATGGTTGTCCAGATCCACTTTTTCCCCGAATGCATAATGCACTTTCTCAGTCGGTAATGTTTTGTATTTTGTATGAGTGAGCATAAGGTTGCGTCTGTATTTTAACCCAGTTCATAATCCTTAGCCCTGGGCAATTGTCCACATCTACCTAAAAAGAATATCAAGAGAGCTATGCTACCTCATCAGAGCCAGATGATTGATTGCTTCAATTAAAATGCAAATGGTCAATAAAAACGCTGTCCAGTCAGACTCTGTTAATGGACATCTGGTGGGGTCTCAGTGTTAGTGTGGTTCATGTGCACTAGGTGACCCATTTGTTGTCTGCTGGAGGCCTTTTAAACTGTGATCTTGAAATTTGGCACCTTTGATAGCAGACATACAGCAGTTTATAGAGTGAGCGTCTACACACCGTGAGGCATGACTAATGAGTCTTGTGACATGTTCTGATCAGGCGTCGATTCACCATGGGAGTTTTATAAATTACCCAATTCATGAGTGGTAAAATGGAGGATGTGTCTTTCAGACGCTCTTGTGTAATCATAATGTCTGTCAAACTGAAATTTCTACCAATTGTTTCCAGCACTGTAAAAGTGTAAAAAGTGAATGTCTTATTGCTACCGTATAGGGACTTTTATTGGTTTAGTCTATATAGTCTATAGTCAGGTTAATCTGGTCATCTTAAATACAGTAATAAGGTTTGTCAGTTGATAAAAATGTTTATACATTATACGATGTGGCAATTAATTAATCGTGGAAGACAAAAGCAATGAATAAGCATTACAACATGTTGACAAAAGGTACTTTATGGAATTATTTAGTTTAATATTTTTACTAACGAATCTTATAATTGTAATAATTAATACATAAATTAATTATTTTATTTTATAATTAATCACACTAAGTTTAATTATTAAATTGACACCCCTATAAATAATATTTTCTGTGAATTCTCACAGGAATAAAAACAGCTATTTAACATTACATGTGTTAAAACACAGAAGCAGAAAAAATCAATGAAAAAAAATTACAAGAACTTACAAGATCTTTTTTTATTATATTAATTATATTTTCAATAATTAAGTTTATCATTTGAATAATATAATGTTATACATAATCACACTAATTTTACATTAAATTGACAGACCTATAAATTATATTTTTTGTAAATTTTTACATGAATTAAATTAAAATGTTCATAAAGAAGCACATAAGTTTCTTTTCCAGCTCTCCCTTCGTTTTGCTAACTGGACAGATTAGAACACTGAAAAGTTTTCCCATAAAATGAGATGTTTATTAACCTTCGTTCCTAGCAGTTATTGATAGCCTGTTGGCAAGAAGAAAACATTTTTAGCTGTTCTTGTCAAATATGCAGCCTCTCAAACACAGTATTAATACTCAGTCTTCTGTGTTGTAAAGTCTGTTTTCTTTGATTCTCGACAGGTTCACACCGTATGAATGGTATAACCCTCACCCCTGCAACCCCTCATCTGAAGTGGTTCAGAACAACTTCACACTGTTGAATAGTTTATGGTTTGGTGTCGCAGCTCTAATGCGTCAAGGTATGTTACACACAACACTGCAAAAGTTCTGCGTTGTTTTAGCTGATAAAAAAACACTGAAACAAGTGCCATTTATTTAGATAAAGAAAAATGTCACAAGCACTGTGGTTGCTCTGCTACATCTGTTTTAGCTTGAGGGTAGTTGCCTTTATACATTCACCAACAATCACCCTGAGACCAGTTGGTTGAAATGAATAGAAATTTTTTATCCAGAAAAAGGAAAGTTGTTGTGTGGTTTGTTTTTGAATTTTTTTTTTTTTTTTTTTTTTTTTTGATTTCATTCAATTACATTCATACAGTAGGGCACAGTTCTAAGTCACAACCAGTAATTTAATTGATTTTTGTTCTGACTTGCAAACTTTTAGCTTGGTTTCCTCTGGTGTAATAGATGCTAGTGAGAAGAGGTCTGTAGGTTCCGCTACAGAAGGCATGAAACAAAATGGATGACCTGTCAGGTGTGCAGAAAAGTGTAAAACGCCAAGATCGTCTTTAATGAGCACAGGAGAACCAGACAAATCATTATGCAGCATAGTCTGACCTCAAGTTACAGAGAGATTTCTTCTGAAATATTAGATAAATCTTATTTACATCAGAGGGGCCATTCAGCCATGAAGATGGAAATTTGCAGAAAAGTGGAGTGCAGTTGCGGGCATTTCATGTCACTGGTGGATTTTAGGGTATTCCATTATGGTTAAAGCAGGTCATATTTATACTATGTGAGAAAAAAAGTCAGCATGAAATGAAAATTGACCCTATCTATTTTGTAAATGCATGTTATTAATCTTAGTGTGAACAAATCATCCACATACATTTTTTGTTTTGTTTTTTTTCCCGATCACAATATCTTCAGAAAAATATCTCTCTGATGACGTATGCTGGACTTATTTAGACCTCATAAAACCCAGCCTCATTCTTAAAATTGACAGCAAACTTGCAGTTTTGAGCGCACGTTCTCTACATCTCAATCCAATCAACAACTGATGGATATAACCAAGTCCTTTTATTTCAATTAATAATAATAGGAATATCTAAAAATTTCATTTGATAAATAACTAATGCTGATGTAGAATAGTGTGTTTACATAGAAAATATACATAGTCTTAATCAGCAAATAACAGGTTAATTCTAATTCCGTTCTAAGGGTTAGAGAGAGATAGTGGGAAATGGTCATGTAAAACTAGATTCGATTTGTTGGCACACAAAAAAAGCTTTGGCTATGATCAAAAAAGTGATAATTATTTACGACATGACCTCTTTAATATGATCAACAGGCTTTTTGAAACCCACACACATAGTGTTAATTGGGCTCATTTAGTTTGTATTCATCTTGTTTGGATATTTTTGTGTTGTGCTATGTGTTCACATTATTACCTACCACAGCTAAACCTCCTACATGAGGTTACTGAAATAACCTTGTTATCTTTTTTATCTCATCAATTAAAGCATGCAGGGTTTTACCAATTAGCCAACGGTAGAAAATGAGAACATAAAATCACAAAAAATAGTTTTTGTCCTTATGTTGACAGAACAATATTTTAAGATATTTTTATTGTTTGGGTTTTCATCAGCTGTCTAGATGATTTTCCTCTTCATTTTCTTCAATAAATAGATTGATATTCTTGTCTTGCAGTGTGATAATATCAGGGCTATGATTGACAGTTGTGTCCTCCCCATGCCATTTAAGAGTAAGACATAGGTCAGTAGTTAGCATTTAGCCATGCTAATTATCTGAGATTAGCAGCACAGCTTTTCCAAAGGAACAAACACACCTCATGGTGTCTGTCAATGAGCTGTTGCTCCCCAGGTGGCTAATGTAAAAGTGTTTGGTATCTTTCAAAAGGATTTATTAGCATGAACATTACTGAAAGGTCGAGATCATGCATTAGCTCTGCTAAAAAAAAACATTAAACAACCCTTGAACAGTTTTTACTGCTGGTTTTTAGCCAATTTAGCTAGCCAGACTAACTGACTAGTCCAACTAAATCCAAAACAAATTAGCCTGACCATCTTAAACACACTAAATTGGGTTAAACTGTTTTTTTTTGGTTTTTTTTTTTTGGTGTTGTCTTTTCAGTTAGCTACACTAATGCTAATAGAGCCATTTCGAAAATAATAAACACTATCTTTTACATTTAGCTATTTTCCTCCTTTTGAATTTAAAAGAAATATAGATCATAATACATAACCATTATCCACTCTTTACTCATGGCTGACTACTTTAAAGTACTACTTTTTTGCCGACTGCTTTGGTGGGTAATTACTGTTCTGTTGTTAGATATATTGCTTGGATCAAAGGTAATAATTTAGCTGGCAATTTTAAAGTTGCGCTCTATATGACACAAGACATACAAATGCACAGTACACACACTGTGAATTTGTGCTGTTCCAACTTCCAGCTACCTCAACTGGGCATCTATGCATGAAAGACGATCCATGCAGACTTCGATTCACTGGTCTGTCTTTCTAATTACAAAACGAACATATATGGGAGGATAACTTCCTATTAACTGATTAATATATCTTGATAGTACACCTAGTTTATCAGAGTGGTGACTTTGCTTATAAGGACAGATTCATAGACATATTCTGTTTTTCTTGGCTTTTCACAAGGATAAAGTACAGTTCTTATGATGGTTTCATTTTCTAGCGATCAAAGCCCTGAGTCATCCAGCCAGCCATAGTGAAAACCCTCAGTTAGAATAACACACATTAGATTTCTCATTTAGCTGAAGGTTAAAAGCTAGAGTCAGTGTGATGAGAGCAAACGTAATATGAGCCTTTGATAAAAAAAAATAAACCCATTTAGGTTGTCACAGCGAGCTTCACGCTGCTCATGGGGTCCTGGGTGACTCTCAGTCCCTTGTGTGTGGGGTTTTTTGAGGATGTGTGTGTGCTTGCTTGTGTATCAGGGTTGTTTTCTCAGAGGAGACAGTGCTTTAAAATATCAGAATAAAAACTTTAACAGTACAAAAGTAATACAAAACAAATATTGCGAAATAGTAGATGAAATGGTGTGTAAACCACTTTTGTAATGTAATACTGTTCAACAGATAAAGATTCATATAGAGGCAGCATCTCTTTCACTCAAGCTTATTCACTTAGAGGGGCCAAAAAATTGAGATGAAAAAAACTAACATAAGCTCAGATCAATCTGTTACAAAAAGACCTGTCCTATTTAAAAGAAAATAAGTTGATTCAAAGGTTTAATCCAATATTTGGCAATAACATAGCATAAAGAGAGAATTAAAAGTGTTTTTTTTAGGCCAGTCTTTTTTGACCAGGAACAAGGTCGAGAGAGAAAAAAGCACCAATATGATCTTACAGTTTCTGGGAAGGTGTTATACCCTGTGTGAGAAAAGTCATTACGTTTTAGTCCAACACGATAACATTAACAAGCATTTTCGGGGCAAAAAGTAAGTGTCAAGAATGTTTTGTGAAACCGGCCACTGGTTTCACCTTTCATGTTGTTGTTGCCGTCTGTGTACACAAAGATAATAATTTATAGTGGATGTAAGAATCAGTTTCTAGTAACTACAGGTGTCAAATGTGTTCATCACATTTGAAAATTGTATCTAATGTTATTTAATTGAAAACCAACCAAACTTTTTTTGTTAAATGTCATTTGCTTGTAAAGCTGTCTTTGTTTAAATGTCACTTGGTTATGAATTTTGTTATCTATTGCAATGACATTCAAACATTTTTCCAGCATGGCTTAAGTGTCCAAGTACTTTTTGGGGCCAGTGTTTTGCTAAGCTTTTGTTTATTTCAGGATCTGAGCTGATGCCTAAAGCTCTGTCCACCAGAATCGTGGGAGGGATTTGGTGGTTCTTCACTTTAATCATCATATCTTCATACACGGCCAACCTGGCTGCTTTCCTCACAGTGGAGAGAATGGACTCCCCAATCGATTCAGCTGACGATTTAGCCAAGCAGACTAGAATTGAATATGGTGCAGTGAGAGATGGCTCCACAATGACTTTCTTTAAGGTAACATGTTCTCATCTTGCACGCAGAATCGATGTGCCATAACACACCGTTCACATAAAAGCTACTAAAATACAGAAGGATCAGCCAGCCACAATCCAAACACTCAGCAAATTATCAATTTTACAAGAGGCTGCCTGCACAGAAGGAGCTGGAGCTTTTAGGAGTAAGTTTATTGGATTTCTGCTAGGAAGTAAAAAAAGGAGATCAATCATGTGTGTCTGTCTCATGATAAGATACAAACTAATAAAACGGATGCAGAGTCACACACAGATGAGTTTTGAGTTATGTTAACCAGAAAATTTCACATCCAATAAATGTCCCCTCATACTGAGAGGGGAATTCCATAAATAAATTGCACTAGATTGTGCGCTTATTTGCACAGGATGTCTGCATTGTTTTAGTGCCATTCACAAAAGAAATTATGCTAATCAGGTAGCAATGCAAACACAGTGCAAAATTTGTTCTAATGGAATTTGACGAAAATTCTGTTTGCATTCTCACCAATAACAGTTTTTTATGGTGTTTTGTCCACATAAATGATTACATATTGTGTATGTATTTTCACTATACTGTTCAAAAGGATGCATTTATTTGATTAAAAATGCAGTAATATTGTGAAACAACTGTTTTCTATTTGAATATTTTTTCAAATCTTTATTCCTTTGACGGCAAAGCTGAATTTTCAGCATTATTACTCCGGTATTCAGTGACACATGATCCTTCAGAAAACATTCTATTATGCTGATTTGGAGCTCAAGAAACATTTCTTATCAAAGAATGAAAAGTTGTGCTGGATAATATTTTAGTGGGAACTATTGGGACTATAGGAATGCTCCAATCAATCAGCCGCAGATCGTTATTGGCCGATAATCAAATTCACAAAACGATCGCAATGCCCCCGATGTGTATGTAAACAGTTTACAACAGAGGCTTCTGCGCCAACTTTCTGCTTTGTAACTTTGAGAAACATTAGTAAACCATAGTAAATTGCACATCTTTATTTAGAGCAGATTGTCTCGATTCAAACTAGCGCACACACAACATAACGTAGTGCATAGATCTTGAGAAAATACTCACGGAGTGACATTACATGCTGCTTGGCTAAAGCTATAGACCTTATGTGGCCCCGCTCCTTTTCAGCGCTGCGCTCGTTCAGTTCTGTATTCCGGTTTGTATTTCCACAGCATGAAGGGAAGATTTTACGGATTTATGAACGAACCGCTTGTTTTAAAATCTTCCCGGTCTACTGACATTTGTTATGACATCAAACATTACAATGCTCATGATAGCTTTCGTTAACTCTACAATAATTAAATCCACTTCACCAGCTTATTATTCTTCGACAGCAATGCCATAAAATCTTCCGTAAAAAATGGAAGTTCAAACACAAAATTCTAAAGATGGTTGCGTGCTTGTTTCTTTGGTTATGTGTGTGGGACTTCTGGGATGGAAACTGGATCTTGCGTATGGTGAGTAGGGTTGGGCAATATGGCAAAAATATTATATTACCATTTTTTTCAGGAAAATCACGATTTTATCACGATTCTTTTGCATGTTGGTTTTACTATTTTGCAAGTGACTGAGCATTACAGCCAAACTAATGTCCCTATTTTAAAAACAAACCTTACAAGGAAACAAAGTATAAAATAAAAAAGAATAGACTTTTTTTATTTCTCAATACAATTTTTATTTTATTTTGATTGCTTTGAAATATAATCATTAAAAATGCCTTCAGGATGTAAGGAGTTAACAGTGTCAGTCATCAGAGAGCTTACATATTACTTATATAAAGCTTGAATGATCGGGATTGGTATTGGCCAATCATGATGACAAGAAATCGGTAGTTGCTATTGGCTGCAAAAATCCTGATCGGAGCATCCCTAGAAACTATGATACAATTTTTAATGATTTTTTAAATTAATCTTTTTTAACATAAATTACTATCAGTTCTGATCAATTTAATGCATCCTTGCTGAGTGCATTAGAAGTGTTAGTAAATCTTACCACAAATAAATGTACTACAAGTACATTTTGGCACCTCAAAGTAATGTACAATATGAAAATGGATATTCATTTTGAAACTTGTAAAATATTATATTTAACAGTTATTAAATGATTAGTGTTTTTAAAAATGAACTTTACGTAAGCTTTGAATTACAGCAGATGTGATATAAAAGTAAAAAAAATGAGCATGTACAATCGAATGTAAAAAATTAAATGAAATATAACAATATAATATCCAAGATAAATATCGGATGAAGGTTTATGCACTAAAATACTGTACATGCAGTATAAGACATCACAGAGTCCTTGCTAATACCTCAAGTGTACACATTCACAAATCCGCCTGAATCCTACTGAACTCTATTTACCTCCACCAATCAGGCCATCTACAATTCCAGTAATTCCAATAATCCAGTGATCTATCTTATAAGTAAGATCCACACATGTGCACCATTCATCATTTAGAGAGAGAGAGAGAGAGAGAGAGAGAGAGAGAGAGAGAGAAAGACAAACGAGTTGCACAGAAGTGTGTACAGAGGCTGGTGAGGGCTTTATCCACCGATATTGAAGAGTATGATTACATCCGCGTGTATCTGGAAAAATACAGGCCTGTGGAGAACCAAGACAAATCGAATCAGCTGTGAGAGATTTAGCACACAGCTGCCCCATTTCTCCCTGCTGTCCTCTGACACACTCAGACGCAACATTTTACAACTTGTCCCCTTTTGACTCGGCCTAATGAGAGATCAGGGTGAACTTATCAGACTTGAAAAGCCTATTCCAGTAGCTGATGAAAGATCCGAAGAAAAGAACTTTCTAGAATGAACAGAAATATCGATCCAGGTGGCGTGACTCGTGACTTTAATGTCTTTAGTACTTTTTGAAGGCTAAATCAACTCTTTGAAACTCTTTCAGAAATCAAAAATATCAACGTATGAGAAGATGTGGGCGTTCATGAGCAGCAGGAAGAACACAGCCCTGGTGAAAAACAACAAGGAAGGGATTACAAGAGTCCTGACCACTGACTATGCCCTCCTCATGGAGTCCACCAGCATAGAGTACATCACACAGAGAAACTGTAACCTCACCCAGGTCGGAGGCCTGATCGACTCTAAGGGCTATGGAGTTGGCACTCCAATAGGTAATGGTGCCCCACATATCATCTGACAGGCTGTTGAGCCCTCTAACCATGACCTTACTTGCCTCAGGCAATAAACGTGGCATGTTTTTCAGTATGTACTGTTGAGAATTTATTATAAAAGGAAAGACACACACTACACAACCAATTGAGTTTGAGTTGCTTTGCTTGATTTAGTTCTGGCCTGATCATTTGCTGCATTCCATCCAAAGTCTGGATTTGATGTCTCCGATACATGTGTGGGGAAATATTATTAAAATATTTTAATTATATAAATTATTTTGTTATACAATTCATATATTTCTAGTATATGTCCCTATATTTTATATTTCCATAAATATTATTTATAAATCATTGCAGATTAAATTGCATTGACTTCAGTTTCATAAAATACATAAAATAAATATAGTATATATAAAATGTATTTATATTATTATATATATACAGATTACTATTGCATAATATATTGTATGTATGCAGACATTTCTATATAAAATATAAATGAAATTAAGTGTGTATATCTATATTGAATATTTATTAATTATTGTAGATTAAATTCTATTGACTTTATGTATATAAAATATGAATAATTTGGAACTTTTATTGCAATTTATTTTAAAATAGGTACGCAACCAACAATGATAAGCTCATTGTTATTATAATGTTATGATTAAAATTTAATAACAGATAAATGTTAATAAAAGGTAAAAGCAATAAAAAACAACATTTTTGAAGTCAATTTAGTAATCGAAACAACATACAGTATAAAAATTGGATATTCATTTTGAGATTTGCTAAAGATTAAAATGAACAGTTATGAAATATTCATGTTTTTAAATTAAATAAGTATCACAAAAGGTAACACTTTATTTTACAGCGTCGTTGTTATACGTTATACAACAGTAAATGCATAATTTCATGCACATATTCCTAATCCTAACCCTTAACCTATAGTATATTTTGTTTATATTTCTCAGCACATATATGTTTAATTACACTGTAACAAGGACACCTTAAAGTAAAGTGTAACCTCACTAAATTAAATAAAACTCTAATATAAAACTAAGATATATTGTGTGCATCCCTACTTTAAAATGATCGAAGTTGGAAGTTTAGCTTCAAGTGCTGTTCTATTGCACTTGTGTAGGACTCTTCTCTAAACTCAAACAACTGTGGTTGTTTGCAGGCTCACCCTACCGCGACAGGGTGACCATCGCCATCCTGCAGCTCCAGGAAGAGGGAAAGTTGCACATGATGAAGGAAAAATGGTGGCGAGGTAACGGATGCCCTGAGGAGGACAATAAAGAAGCCAGTGCCCTGGGTGTGGAGAACATCGGAGGCATCTTCATCGTGCTGGCCGCCGGTCTCGTGCTGTCCGTGTTTGTGGCCATCGGAGAGTTCATTTACAAGTCGCGCCAAAACAGCGATATTGAAGAGGTGAGTGGGAGGCAGGTAGAACGGCCCCGCGGGGTCCGAATCTTACAGGAGCTAATTACCTCACCGCTGTCACAGCCGAAATGAGCCATGTAAACACAAATGAGACACTTGCAGCAGCCCACTGGTCAGGAACCTGTCGCAGACTGATAGCACATGCTGTTTCTCCTGCTTGTTTTGCATGTCATACATACTTGTTTTGCCAAAGTACCAAAGTGACAAAAACTTAACCAATAAATGAGGAGCTCTTTTCCAAAACGCGATAAATCCATTTCAATAGTTTTCAGGAATTTTTTTTTTTTTACCTTGACCCACACATTTTGTGAATATTCAATTTAGCCTGTTAAAATGTTTTTTTCCCCTCAGTCTGAACATGTTGAACAATGATTATTAAATCAAACAACAATATTGTTGATGATAAATTCAAAGTAATTTATTTTTTTTTCAAAACGCTATAAATCCAAAAATGGATGATTTTGGCCACTTAATTAAGTTTTGTTTTGTAGAAAGTCTTTCTTTAAAGTGAATTTCGTTTTGTATAAATTGTATCTTAATTTTAATAATTTTTTCATCAACCAATTGCCTGGATTTAATAAATAAGAAGCAAATAGACAATATAATCATGACATGGAGGCGCCGGCGTGGTCACTTGCATTGCACGTGAACTGGTGCGCATCTCATCATTAACCGAAATTCAGCGTATGCCTCACAGAGTCATGAGAAATATATCTATATAGAAAGCTTGAAATGTCTTTAAACGAAACAATTAAAAACGAAAATAAATAGCACACTCTCTGATTATGTAATCCATTACATGCATTTCTCTCTAGGCGCGTTCACTACAGAGATGCTGATCGTCAATTTCATCTTTGCAGACACTGACACACAGAAAACAGTTGATTAAAAAAATAAAATAAAAATTTCGATTTTCGAACGATATTCGACTTTTGCTCCTTGATTGTCGAATGCCATTTTTGGCAGAAATTATAAACAGAAACCTTTGGCAGCAGCATCTACCCCAGGTGTAGGTCTCACTGGCTCATCAAGGCCATCAAAAGTGTTATCACCGTTTAAAGCACTCATTTTGAGGAATGAATGAACATAAACAAACCTCTGTTCAGCGTGCCGATGTTGGATTGCGTAGAACGCTCAATGAATTCTGATTTGTCGAGAGAGGATTTATCGCGTTTAGGCTAAAAATAGGTTTGGCGCTTATCGCGGTTTGGAAAAGAACTGCATCTTGCAGTACATTTTAAACAAGGAAATATAGCGATTTGGCATGAAACATTGATGGAGCAGTGAATAGGTTCAGAACACAGCAAAATGACATGACAAACTAATTGTTTTTTTAAATGGCGTTTATCGTGTTTTGGAAAAGAGCTCCTCAAATGTAAAATATGACAAAGTACTGCCATTCAACACAGTTTGGTAATTCAGGCAGTGTGATGTGAAGTGTAAAAGTTAATGCATTCATGCACAACAGCCATTAAATATGTCTGTAATGCATTGAAATTTTAATTGTTTAATTGGATCTATAGATCAAATCCAGATGGGATGTTTAACAAAAGTCAAGTCATTTGCACTCTTTAAATAGCAGAATTTGGTTATCGCTGAAATTTGACAAGTATTAAATATCAGATTTTCAGATTTTAAAAAGAAGGCCATTAGACAACTACAGTCATTTTGTTTGGGGGGAAATTTTTGCAAAGTAAATTGTATTGAATTTAGTTTCATTTAGAATATATCAAATATATTATAAATGACATGTATATATATATATATATATATATATATATATATATATATATATATATATTGCTTTGTAAATATTAATTATTAAATTACGTGTATATATTGATTATTTATTAATTATTGCAGAATAAATTGAATTGACCTCAGTTTTATATGAAATATATAAATGCACATATTTCTATATAAAATATAAATATAAAATTATGTGTGTATTTATATTGATTATTTTATTAATTAATGCAGATTACATTACATTAACTTGAATATATACATTCTTCTATAATTACAAAACAAAATAGATGATAAAATGAATCACAAAGCCCTAATTTAACTTAAAGTGTCACTTGAGTGACAACAGTTTGGTACGGATCCAATGCTAATGTACATTTGTTAGCTGAATGAATATTTTAGCATGATTTTTATTTTAGTTGCTTGTGAATGCTGCTTATATTTTTTTTATCATATTGATCATTTGCATGTTACTAATCTTGTCCTGCTTTTTGTCTTTCTGTTCTATTTTTTTTTATCATTGATCTGCATGCACAAGGCCTTCTGTTTCTTTTACGGAGTCCAATCCCGGCAGCTGCAAAGAAGCGATTCCATCTCCTCCACTGGCACGTCCTTATCAACAGATTTAGAGAGCGGGCGGCTCCTCGGGGATGACATATGTTCTTCGCGTTAGCCACACACTCTCGTATCTGTAAGGGCTGTGCGTTATTTAAAGAAATATAAACTCCTTTCCCTCATTTGCCCATCTACTGGTTACTTCCAAACCATCTTCCCAAACCCTTGACCTCAATCCAGCACCGATGCGGCTCAGAAATTTACTACGGTTTTCAAAGAGATGAAGAACACTTTCATTTTTTGTTGCACACCCTGTCTGCGGACAGATAAGAAATGGAGTGCTCTCAGAAACTTTTATATACTGGCAGAAGCCATTCGAAGCTAAATTTGAAGTGTGAACTCTCTACATTTGATGTCCTAAATTCTCCCTCTCATTTTCTCAGGGCTTTCTCAAAAGATCGACCCACACAGTGAGGGTAATAATAATTATAATGAGGGTTATGATAATCATTTGTGCTATAGCCCACTGATTCTTGAGTGCAGAGACAAAACAGGCTGCAATACAGAAAAAAGTTTGAGTAATGGAATTATTTTCGGTTAATCTAAAAGTTCCAGTGTCCATACAAAATATGTGCTTGCCATTTACTCAATATTGGTTAAGACTGTGAGAAAGAAAATGATGTGTGAAATATTTATAATTATTGACCAATCTAGCATTCACTTTAATAAATGAGACTACATGAGAGACGGTTTCAGCTCCTTCTATTGAATTGCTACTACAGTCAAACAGATATTACTGTGTGAACAAAACATAAATCATATTTTGATGTTCTAAATGCAGTATTTATTTTTCCAGTTTTGCTTGCTGCTAATGGAACCTGAAAATTACATTTGAGCTGGCATTTCATGGTCTTTATATTCAATATATTGTAGGGATGCACCAAAATTTCGCCTAACAAATATTTTCGACCGAAACAGCTATTTTCAGTTTCAGGCTGTAATGGTTTTGAAGAGGCCGAAATCAATGACCGGAGTTAAACATGTTAAACATGATGTCAGCTGTGTGGACACTAGCTTGACTAGATTGACAATATTCATTTCTTTATTTTAATCGGTAATATGGTTTCTTAAATCTAAAATCTTTTAGTCTGTGCTGTTTTCTGTTGATGCATTCATTTGATCCTGACATTTGTAGGGCGCCTACCATCCAGTAATTGCAAAAAGATTTTTAATATGAAGTAAAGTCTTCAATAAACTCATTAGTTAGCTAAAAACAATAACTTTTTTGCTAAATGTATGCACTGTATTATATTCATTCATATATATATATAAAATGCATTTATATAATTATTCTTGTTAAAGATAATATTAATGTATTAAATATTATTTATATTTAAGAATAAATAATAATCGGAATATAATTATAACATCAATGCATTAATTATATTTTTTATAATTATATTAAAAAATATTATTTTAAATATCATGTCTGTTTTTCATCTATGTAAAATATTGACTCTTATTACTTTAAAGGGGCAGGTGATTTTAGTGTAGTAGTGTAATGTCATAATTTTGATTATAAAAATAATATTGATAATGCAAAAAGTACATACATAAACTAACAACTGGTAAAGTTGTAGTATATGTTTTGTGCTATCTCAAGAATCAGTGAACTCCACTCATTCACTTCTTTTTTTATATAAACACCTGACACTGAGCATACAGTCATGAAACACCAATATCAGTCTCTGCAATGTAATTAACTTTAGCTGTATTTAGAAGAGAAAAGACATCGAGAGGAGAGTCTTCATTATGACTTGATTAAATATTGATGCACTCAAAAAGAAAGAACAATTAAAAAGTCTAAGATTACTGTGTCTGAAATTAGCCCACAGGATAACCACAATCAGCCGGGAGCTAATTCCCCCCTTTATCTGCCTCCCACATCCCAGCGGCATTTCTAGAGCTGTGGCCTTCATGCCTCCAACGTCTCATGACAGACAAGACCAGGACGTGCAGAATCCCTCGGAATCTGCATTATCACAATAGAAAACGGGCTACACAACCCAGTCATGTCTATTGTGTGTCTTTGCAAGTCAATCTCGTGAGAGTTTCATAGCATGAAAGTAACCATGTTGTCCCGACCCTATTCTCCACATCATTTCCTGTTGTTTTCACACTATCCTAATATGACTAAAGGCCCTGATATACTTCAAGCGAAATCAAAGAACTGGTGTGACGTAATTTCGAACAAAATCAGACCAAAACGAAGTTCGTTTGAAGTTCGTTACTGGAGTTTGAAACAGCTTGCCTAGCGAACTTTCCGGAAAAGTTAACTCCAGCTGGTAAACACCTTATACTACCATTAGTCCAAGATAGGTGTGTGCTGAGGCTCCGCCTTTTTGACATGGAAATCTTCTCCGGGGATGAATCCGAAATCGCCCCCATACCCTCAAATATGGCATTATTTGAGGGGACAACCATTTTTAGTGGTGTCCGAAACCATAGTGGATGTAACCGAGTGCACTCATTCTATCCAACATTGCACCGCAATAAAGAGTGTACAGCCGATGTACACTCAACATCTGTCCGAATTCGCTCACTCGTTTTTATTCACTCCTTCAAGTGAACCGTATTATTGGACTAACATAAGGAATAGTGATTGAGGGTTTAGGGGTCGATTTCTGATTCCGCCCATTTCATTTCGTCTGTTCAGTCAATCAAGGTCAAATGCGAGTTAAAACATGAACACAACGGAGGTCTGCTTTAAAGTAGAAATTGGGGTTGTAGGTGTAATAGTAAGAGACACTCACACTTTTGTTTTTTCATGTGTAATACTGTAAAGCTGCTAGTTTTAAAGCAATCTATTGTATAAAGTGCTATATAAACCTGACGTGACTGGAGTGCCGAGTTGCATAGCTCTTGCAAACATCCACATCACTATTATCAGATGCTTTCTTAACGGCTGTTTTCTCATCACTGTCATTTTTGTTGTGTAATGCTCGCAGCACATATTTACATCCAAGCGCCGCTCTCAGCAGTGTGGGCGTCGTCGGATGTTTGCTAATTGTATACTGCTGAAAAGGCATTTCGAACATTTCTGTTTACCCCTAAGTGAAGAACATAAAAGAACTTTGATGTGAATATATCAGGGCCTGAAAATAGAATCATAAACAATAGATGAAACAGCTGTTTGCAGTGAATTTGACACTATATGCATCAAATCTAGTTGAATAGCTGAAGTGGACACTGTTAGATTGTGTGTTTGTGTGTGTATGTAAGTGTGCCTGTGTGTATGCATGTGTGTGTAGAGACTCATGCAAGCCCTCGTGTTCTTTTTTGACAGTGTGTCTCTTTCAGTGCGGTGATGGAAGACCTGGGCATATCCCTCAGGTGCCACAAGGCCTTGAGGAAGAGAGGCAGACACAGAGGAAGAGCAGGCCTGTCTGGAGTCTTATGTAACCCCAAACGCATCTCGAGGAAAGAGACAGTGGCCTAGATCCACCTCCAACAGCCGCGCGGGGAGCAACTCTGCTTTTGACGTACCTGTCCGTTAAATGAATCTCTGAGGCTGTTTGATTTTTTTTTCCATTGAAAGTTGTTTATGTGCTTTCTAATTATGAATTTGCAAGTTTTTATACGAGTATTACGTGGATTGTGTTCGTTTTGTGTCAGCTACACAGATCTTGGTAATAGCTTGAGTTGAAAATGAAAGGAATCATTTTGAGATATTTATGAACGTACAAGCACATTGCATAAAACGGTAGCATTTTCTTGTGCTGTCCTCGATTTAATAAATAAAAGTGTACATTTTACACAAACTTGAGGAATTTTATCTTCCAGTGGTTCTTTGTTCAGTGACGCAGGTTCTATTAATTGCACTGTTATATAACAGTATGCTTCTGATGCGTGACGGTTCCAAAGGGAATTTAAGTTGGATGTTAATGCATGGATGTTTCTCCATTACTTTGTTCCCATTTTGACCCTAACAATTCAAGACGTTCTGCCTGCTACACACAAACCGCCAGCCTCAGGGGACTGACCGAAGTATTCTCCCTCAAACCGAGGCGCAATCAAGGCGAGTTCAAAGGTCAGCCTCTGCTTCAAAAAGCTACCTGCTCCATGACCCAGACAAATTACTCTCTGAAGATTAAAAAAGATTAAAGATCAGACGTGTCTTAATGCATATCAGAAAATGCACTGAAAGATAAGACGCTCTGAGATGCAGGCGATCTTCTTGATTCGATTTTTTGCGCTACGGATGAATTTGCTCGAAACAAAGTGTGCCCGAAAGTGTGTGTGTGTGTGTATATATACAGAAAATATTATGGATATGCTAGTGGTGTCCCTTTCAACCCTATGTAAATCAGGTTAGGTTATACATATATAGGTCAGCCATGTCCGGACCAGAAAGACAATGCAAGTCTTGCTCGGTTTTGGCCTTGGAGAAATGTAGACATGAAAGATGTTTTGTGGTGTTTGTGAGTCTGGACATGTGAGGGGAAGCTTGTGGGCTATTGGCAAACGTATAGAAATTCTAGAGCTTCAGAGAGACAGAGGGCCATTCACACTTAAGAAGAAAAGGACTGCTCTGAGCTGCTTGGGCCTGGCAGTTTGTTTCAAAGGCCTCCGACTTCACTGAACACATGTGATGGCCATTGAAAACGACTTACATGGAGTCCTTGCTTAAAAGCAGGAGCTATTATCATGTAGAAGCTTATTTTTATTTGATTTAAATTATGATATTAACACAACAATATAAGTGAAAATACATCTATTTATCTATCTATCTGTCTGTCTATCTATCAGATGATTTACCTGTATGTCCGTCTGTCTGTCTGTCTATCTATCTATATATGTGTGTGTGTGTGTGTGTGTGTGTGTGTGTGTGTATGTATGTCTGTCAGCACTGAAGCCTGGAGTAATGTCTTCTGAAAATTCAGCTTTGCTATCACGGAAATATATTATATTTTTTCTTAATATTAAAATAGAGCAGTTATTTTATATTGTAAATTTGTTTCACAATATTCCTTTTACAGTATTTTTGATCAAATAAATGCATCTATATGCATTAATACATCTACTGATCCTAATTTATTAAAGTCAGCATGAAAATGAAAATTCACCCTATGAAATAGAATTTTCTAATTGTCTTATTGTGAACACTAATCCGAGCATTTATTATTATTTTTAATTGATTTTTTGGACCCGTACAGTTTATCAAAACGCCTGACGTATGCAGGACTTCTCCAATCATTTATTCGGCTTAAACCCCGTCACTGCACGCTCACATTCATCTGCCTCCACTTTAAAGTTAATAAATAATACAAAACTAATTCATTTGAATAAATTATACAATTGTTATAATGTTAATGTTATGTAAATGAAGAGAAGAGAATCACCTTAACCTCATGAATAATTTGTTTGCTAGATTTAGATCAAGTATCAGTACAGCGTAACAACATGTCACTCATAGCTAAAGGTCAGATTGAT